AAAATAAAAGACTCAAATTATTAAAGTCTGGAATCAGAGAGGTGACATTACAACTGAGCTTGAAAATAAATACTCAAGAAGAAATAGAAAATGTGAGTCAATCTAAAACAATCATATTAACCTTTTTAATTCTCACAAAGAAAAGTGCAGGCCCTGATGGCTTTATCAGAGATTTCTACCAGCCCATGAAAGAAGAATTCTTACAAATCCTTAACCAACTCAGAAAACAGGAGGGGACATTTCCAGGCTCATTCTATATTGCCAGTGTTACCCTGATGGGAAAAAGTAGACAAAGACGTCACACAAGAAAACTACAGGGGTGAAAACACAATCCATTGTGGGTACAGATGCAAAATGCTCCACAGAATCGTAGCTGAGGAATTCCATCAACATATAAAAAGGATTTGATGTGGGTAAGTCAGCAAGCATTGCCACCAAGCTTTCCACTCCTACGCGAATGCTTTATCCCAAAGAAAACATATCTAAGCATGTCTCTGAGGTCAGTGTGTGCCTGCAGAGACGTTCTCTGGATAACAAGCTAGTCTTCATTTCATTAGAGTGCCTTAAAAAGTGGTCCACTCAAACCAGCAGGCTAGTTATCGGCCAGTCAGAGAAGGCAGCCCAGAAGGGTATGGTCACTGTATCTGGGGATTCCTCAAGGATCATCTGCATGGATTTTCTCCAAGGACACTGCATGATCATGGAGACTTACTATACAGATGTTGTAGGAAACCTAAAAATTCCACTGGTCAGAAAAAAGGCCAGGAAAGTTGTATCTAGGATTCTGCACACCCCTTTTCTCCCCACACCCCCCCCAAAATTAAACTGTTCCTACCCATTGTTCCAGGGTAGCTAGCAGGGCGGTCCTATGAGAACTTCATTGGAAAATCTTACCTCATCTGCCCTACAGCCCAGGCTTACCCCATTCAGACTTCTCTTTGTTCCCCCAAACTCAAAGAACGTTGAAACCAGACATGATTTGAGTTCCTTGCGGATGACAAAACCACCATTTGGACGTGGGGAGTGTCAGCGGAATGGAATCGCTGTCTACAGAGGTGTATCGCTGTAAGACAGGTGCTATGTGGAGGAGCAATCGCTTCACCTGGTGCTACTTTTCGTCATTTTGTGGTAACACTCTTTGACTTACCCTCATATACCACAACCAACGAGGATTTACCTGCAGGATGCCAGCGTGGTTCAATAGATGAAAATCAAATGGTGAAATACACCATATTGATAGATAGAAAGAAAACACACACGTCGTTTTTTAATTAGCTGTGGAAGAAGCAGTTGACAAAATTCAACAGTCTTCTTTTTTTTAATCCAATAGTCTTTGGTGATTCAAAACCACTCAACTCACCAGAAATGGAAACTTCCTCAACCTGATAAAGACCCATGCAGTTCCCGAAGATCAGGGACAAGACAGGAAGGTCTCTTACCACTTCCATTGCACAGTGCACTGAAGCTTCCAGCCGGGCTAGTTAGGTAAGACAAAGAGCTAGAAAAGGAAGAAGGAAGACTACTTCTAATCTCCAATTTGCAGATGAAAAGTCTGCATTAAGGGCCTTGAAGATAGACAATCCCAAGGAATAGGAGCCCTGGTGGTGTAGTGGTTTCACGTTGGTCAGCAGTTCGAGACCCAACAACAGCTCGGCAGGAGAAAAACTGGGCTTTCTACTCCTGTAGACAGGTTCCGTCTGGGTCATGATGAGTCAGCATGGACTCGATGGCAGTGAGTTTGGGTTTTACTTGGTTTGGAAGGAATACACACACAGAGAAAATTATTACAACTAATAAACCATTTTGGCCAAGCTTCAGGATTCAAAATCAGTGTATAAAAGTCATAGCACTGCATGACCACAGCAAAGGCAGGCCTTGGGAGGTGCACGAGAGTAAAAGGCAGCGACAGTAAATACGCTCACACAAGCCTGTGGTAAAAGTGACATCAAACAATGAGTCGATACACAGGTAGGCATGCAAACTGAACATATGTGGGAAGGTGGATGAGAATTTATTTTTTTCAGAATCTATTTCCACGTTTTTCAGAATCTATTTCTACATATGTTTTTTATAGGTGTTACAAATATGTCAAAGGATTTAGTAGAACATACAGGGAGGCAAGATTTGAAAAACTTAGCCCTAACCCAACAGCTTGAGAAAATGAGTCACTGGATTTGGGGGTTAGGATCACCATCTTGGGGAATGTCTAGGCCAATTGGCATATCTTCGACATCCTACTTTGTTCTGTAGAACGGGGGCTTTGAAGCTTGCCTTTTAAGACACAATGATTGGTCTCTCCTGGCGCTAAGCAAAGAAAATCATAGACTCAAGGAAACAGTTATGTAGTTCAAAGGACTAACGAGCCATGGGATTCCTAGCTTCCACCACCCCCCCACCACCCCGCCGGGACTATAAGAAATAGATGGGGCCTGGCTACCACCGCCTGGTTTCCTGTGACTTAAAGCATTAAACGATCCATGGTGGACGGTGGGCCAGAGAGGAACAGAGCTCTGAAGAAGGAATTGCTCGGAACTGGAGCTTGCCGGCCCTATTGCTTCAGCCGCTTCTTGCCCTGGTCTCTGCCCTGGGGTCCCAGGTTTAGCCTCGTCTCCGCAGCAGAGAGCCAGCCTTCCAGAAAGGACGAGCGGCTGTAGCTTTCCTTTGTGGAAATCGGTTTGACCTTTATTTGCATCAGCCTCCAAGATTTGCCAGCTCTCCCTGGAAGAGGGGGAGACCCTCGCCATCTTTTCCTCCTCAGGAGAACCGAGGGTCCACTGGCATGGCGCCACTATTGTCGCTGCTTCACCAACCTGATGTCATTGGTCTCAGCGAGTTGTACAAGTGTCAGTGCAGAAACGGCAACTGTTGTCTATTCTGACAACACTCAAAGAAGATGGAAGGAGAGGCGGGGTGGCGGGGTCGTGGTGGGGGTGTGGCCAACATGAATGTGAAATGAAGCCAGCTGCCCTCCCCCACCTTGCCCAGCACACCTTCTTGGGGGAAGACCTGCTGTCCTAGCCAGAGCGGGGGTGGGGGGTTGGGGGGTGGTGTCGGGAAGGTGGTCACTAACAGGCAGCTACTGTCCGGTGGTAGTGAGGGCTCAGGTGGCTTCCAAGGGAGTGAAGTGGGTGACGTGCAGGAGCAAGGGAAATGAGGTAACTAGCCACAAATGCTTGTATTTTGAACCTGGGTTACTAGTCCAGGAAGGCCGGGCTGTTTCTTTAATTAATCAGACTGTGCCCTTTGAAGAGGTCAGACCTGCTGATTCAGTCCTCCTGACTCTCAGAGCTCGAATCCGAAGGCAGCTGAGGCTGTGCTGGAGTTAGGAGGAGGCTATGTCTCCCAGGGATAACGGTGAGACCAAGAGGATCCAAGTCAGACGCAGGCACCCAACGACTGCTAGAACTTGTATCTCATTTTGAAATATAAAGAAAAAGCTACAACAAAAATATGAAACACTGCCATCTCATAGATGACCCTATAGGACAGGGTAGATCTGCCACAGTGGGTTTCCAAGACTTAACTGTGTACTGGAGTAGAAAGCCTCATCCTCCTGCAGAGTAGCTGTGGTTTTGAACTACTGACCTTTAAGTTGTTAGCCTAAGTCGTAGCCACTACACCACCAGGACTCAAGGGAAAAGTATCCCAATATGTAAGCTCTGCTGGGGAAAAAGCAGGGACATACACCGTGACTCCCTTCTCTGTATTGGAGTGCGGGTGGCGCTTTAGGCAGTACTGAACTACTAACCACAAGGCCAGCGTTCAAACCCACCAGCGGCCTCTCAGGAGAAAGATGAGGCTGTCCCGGTAAAGCTCTACGGGCTTAGAAACCCCGCACCGAGAGGGTGGCTAATCGTCGATATGGACTTGATGGCAGCGGTTCTCTGTCATCACTGTCACTGGGTGCCACGCGGCAGATTCCAACCCCACCTGTGTCAGAGTAGGCCTGCGCTCCACGGGGCTTCCAATGGCTGCTCTTTGGCGAACGCGTTACCAGGCCTCTGTCTGGTCAAGCCTCCAACCTTCCATGATGTTAATCCTCTGCACCAGCAGCTACATAGGTACGATTTATAAAGAACTGTCAGGAGTGCCGCTTGGGATGATTTTGACGGGGTGTGCAGTGCAGTGGGGTGTGTGTAGCTGGTGTGTGCAAATGCCCGGTGGTGGGGGGCGGGCAGGGTGAGGGTGAGGGTGAGGGGCTCTGCCCCCAGCTGTGAGCAGCAGGTAGGTGGGAGCAGAGGTAACCTGGAGCCCGCGTGTAAAGCCATCTCTTTGGAACACCTGCGACCTCCCTAATGGACCAGCTGCAGCCTCTCAATAGGAAGTAATGACTGTTTCTCTCTCCTCGGTTTCAACATGCTTTATGGGGTCTCCAGGGTGCGTGCGTGAAAACTGCAGCTCATAGCACCACAGCTTCATTAGCAACTCGTTACCTTCTGAACCCCACTTTGGCCTTCTGTTCCAGTCTGCTGGTGTTTCCGGCAGCAGGTGACCCCAGGTCACCACTCGGCTTCCCATCACATAAGCAGAACAATATGCAGGTGTGGGATTAAGGGCGGTGGTGGGGGGAAGCAGACTTATTAGGAAAAGGTCTTCCGTCATCGAAATCCACACCCTCACCTGCTGAAAGAGAACATGTCCTTCCTGGGAGGAGCATTTCCCTGAGTTTCTGAGTATATATTAAAACAGCAACAACAACAACCCTCCAACCCCAACGATTAAAATAAGAGCTTCTGTCTAAACAATGCTTCCTCGAAGAGGTTGTCCTGGAATTCTTGGTCGTCTTAAAAGTGTAAGTCATCTCGTCGTTTGGATTCAATCTCCTTAAGGTGCACGGGGTCGTGGAATTCATCTCTAATTCATGGGGCGTTCATTAGCTACCCTGCTGCGAACGGGGGTTTGTTTCTGTCTTCCCGTTGCCCTTGAACGTCACCCCCACCCCACCCCCCAGTTGCAGGAATGCCGGTGCAGTCAGTGAGGGCTGTGCCTTGATTTTTCAGGCTCAAAGACCGTCCCCAGCACCGTTCCAGACACGTCGCAAGGACTAAGCATCTTCAACAGCACGATGGCTGGGACCAAGGTGAAACGCATGAGGGAGTAAGTAGCACGATGAGTGCCCCTCCACTTGGAGGGGCCGCCTCCGAGCATATGGGTGCGCCGTGGGCAGTCGGGTCACGCGGTCGTCCGTCACACTCAGACAACAAAAGAAAAGCTGGCCACACTTTCCTACGCGCCATGCGGGTGGGGCGGGCCAAAGGTCTGCACCTGCATCTGTGCTGCCTCTTTCAGACATCAGGACAAGGGGAAGGCAGCCGGCTTCCTGGTCGAGTTCACCTTTCCCCACATGGCCCCCAGACTTCTGGATCAAAGGGGCTTAGCAGACGCTCTCTGTAAAAAGATACCAGTGGTGGCGGTGGCGGCATTTCCAACTCAGAGCAGAGTAGAACTGCTCCAAAGGGGTTCCGAGGCGGTGAGTGACACTCGGGAAGGAGATCATCAGGCCTTTCTTCTGAGGCACGTCAGGGATGGGTTTGAACCACCATCTTCCTGGTTAGTAGTAAAGTGCTTAACCATTTGTGCCATCCAGAGCCTCCCCTGTAAAAGGCGAAGGAAAAAAACCTCCCTGCCATCTGGTGAATTCTGTCTCCTAGCAATCCTATAGGACAGGGTAGAACTGCCCTGCTGGCTGCAGGTTTCTGCAACTGTATCTCTTTACGGGGGTAGAAAGCCCAGCCTTTCTCCCTGGGATGCCTGGCGGTTTCCACCTGTTGCTCTTGTGGTTACCAGCCCAACTTCTAAGCCACCAGGCCACCAGGGCTCCCCGGGAAAGGGATTCATCTTGCAGATCTCTAGTGAACCGTGCAATTTCTGTTACATTACTCAGCTCTGCTACTGTAACACAAAAGAAACCGCAGACCATTTTTGACAGTGAAGTTTGAATTTCATAAAATGTTCAGGTCTTACAAAATGTTATTCTCCTTTTGCTTCCCTCCAACCGCCTGCCCCCCCCAAGTCATTTAAAAATATAAAAGCAGTTCTTAGCTTTTCGGGATGTGTCAGGTTTGGCCTGTGGCTGTACAGTTCGCCGCCCCTGCCACAGATGTCACTCAAAAACCTGGCTCCTGTGTTATACTGGTGCTCGCTGATTGGTTAGGAAGTTGGGTAAAAATAATTTTTCAGTTGATTTGCGTTTATGTTGTCTCTGCAAGGCCGTGTGCCAACATCCAGGCTAATGGTTGAAAGCAAAAGATAGGGGTGGGGGTGGGGTGGGGGAGAATGCTGAAAATTATTTCCGAACCTAAAGCGGGTGATGTGTTTAGATGTTTATTGTTTTCAAGGCCTGCTCTTAAAGAGTGAATGGCAGTTACCATGGCAACAAGTGATTCCCTGGAGCCAAAAGTGGGAGCATGTGTGGGGACTTCAG